TCTACTATTGGCTCAAAGTCCACATACTCTGTCTGGTCCCTTGGGCCTTAGGTAAGGTCAAAAATGGGAGGGGAAATAATAGTTTCGAATCAAAAAGAATTAAAAAAGAATTAATGCGAAAAGGGAAAAAGAGAAGCCTTACTCAGAGTACACCGAGTGGAGATGAATGGTGGTGCTGGACAAATAGAGAAGGATGTTATGGAACCACGGCGTGTGTTAAAGTCATCTCGGAACCACATTTCTCTGCGAACAAATTCTTGAGGATGGAGATGGCAATGCCCTCAGGTCCGATGGTAATCTATGACTCTTAAATGACAACGAATCCATTTCTGGACCGCAAGAAAGCAGCTGAAGATAAAACGAAAGGGGTCTAAGGTATGATAGTTGAAGGGGGAATGATGACAGCAAGAGAAGGTCGGATGATGAGCAGACTAGGGGGGGAGCAGTAACCGCATGTCGGGTGCTGCCATCTTTTGCCTCTTCAACCATGATTCGTGATCCGCCGTTCGCTTTGGCAAAACCGGGAAAATCTTCGACAACCTGAGGTTGAAAGTCTGCACCGCGCGAACTATACCCAATGGGGCAGTTAGCCAGTCGGTGACAACATTCGAATGTTTGGTTCGCACTTTAATGTCCTTTGGAAGGTTGTCCCTTTTTTCTTTTGCTTTTCTTACTCCATCTTTTTTATTTATTTTTCTATTAATTTTGATTAATTGAAATCACTAAAGAAAAAAAAAAATTTGAAATTAGAATTTCACCTGTACCAACAGGTACCGCCCAAATTTCTAATATTCTAGAAAAAAGTAAAAGAAAAACCTTGCTTCTTAATTCTATCTCCTTTTGTAGTATGTGTTGCATCCCTATAGTACGGGTATCAATGGACGAAATACCAGAGATAAGCTGATCGTTTCAAATATTTGCGTCTTATCTCCAAGACGGAGTACTCTGCTCCTCCTCACGCTAAACCCTCAATATCCCTCATAGATGCATGAATCAGTCCCAAAGATGTGAACTCGATCTCCGCCACCTCCTCCTTTTCCCCCATTCCTAACTGTCGGTCTACCCAGTTGGTAAGGTGGGGTTATACCCGGGCCCTCCAACCGGAAATGTCACTTGTCGCCATGTCGATGGTCGATCATTGATGGTTTATCGCGGTTAATGGATTGACTATCAATCACTCAAAATGACTCGGTGTTTAGGAATAACTGGCCATCCAGAGTGGCAAACAATCTCTCGTTTCAGATGTCAATGCATCTTTGGGTCCCCGATGCCGTCGAGTCCACTTTGCCGGATTTCCTCATTGCCTGCCTTATTCCGCACTATGCAGTTCCTGTGTATCTCGCCTTGAGTCCCCCCCCCCCCTTACTGCTTATGTTCAGATTCGACCTTGCTTGACTCATCTCTCGACTTGCTTCTAGAAGGGTCCGGCAACTGGGCGACATGGGCTGAAACAATGTGCAGCCTTGTTGGCGGTAGTGCTGCTTTACAACGAATCGCTTACGCATCCAGCCGCATCTCTATGTTGTACTACAAGGAAACAAACATATTGTCACTTGAATGATTCACCAGCTCCTTGTTTTCTTCCTGTCAGGAGGTATGGTTGGAGTAATGTAGTAGGGTAAGATTAGCCCTAACAGCCATAAGGCATACACCGCCCTTCGTATTATACGTGTAGGAGTAATTCTTGGAAGCCCAACGGACTGGCCGAAACGCCATTTCTACTTATTTACCTATTTTTGGTCTTGGTTGCTCCCCTATCAGGTTATAGCTGCTGCTCAGCATTGCCGTAAACTGTTCAGAGTTACACCAGGCCACTGCGGATGTACGCTTCAAGCGCCAGAGTCGAAATGCCGGTTAGACGGTAAGATCAGCCGGCCACCATTCTCCTGCCACATTCATGGTGGCTTAAGCAGGAGGCGCATCTCGAAAACTTGTCTTCGACACTCCGGAGATATTTTCGTGGTGGGCACTGATGATCTAATAATAAAAATAAAAATTATATTCCGCTGCCAAACGCCGACTTCCTCTACTGTAATTAATAAAAATAATGCAACGATGTTGCTCCCCTCCCCTACCGTTAGAGTTACGGCTATCTACCAGGAGTTATTTGGAAAAGATCTCCACGAATTGTGCCTGGCTCACGAAGAACCAGCTCTCCCTTCACCCGCAATGACCCGTCAATCAAATCTCATATATTCCCCGGTCGGCCAAGGGAGGATCGTGCATCTGAGGCTACTTGGACGCAGTCAGTAGGCCGGTCACCTGCAAGCTGCAGCGTGGTGTCAGCGATCTACAGCATGCAGCATTCTTTGTCACCAGAAGAGCTCCGAGGGCTTCCATAGGTCCACCACATTGACATTCTCCAGCCTCTTGAAATGGAGGACTGGTGGTGGGTGGAAACTTTACTCGGAAAGCAGCAGCTTTAGTCGGGTTACCATTGCACGATGCGGATTCCCCACCATCGAGTTGCATTTGATGATGAGAAAATGCGGAGCACTCCTACCATCCGGGGCACACCGGTGGTGAGGAGGGGTTCCAGAATATCCATTCCGCCGTCAATCCTGACATGTGAATCGCGAATAAAAGCAGGTCATCGACATTCGGTACGTCAGAGACGATGTCCGTGCATGCCTTATCGTGATTGTGAATCGTCCGGCATGTTGCTTGGAGGCTTGATGAGAATGTTCCGATCCAAACCAGAACGCACTGCTCCCCACATAGACCTGTTTCGAAAGGGCGAATGACTTGACCGAACCGAATTCTCCCTTTAGCTCGAAGACCGCTAAGACCAATTCTGGGTCTTACTATCCGAGATGGCTGGCAAGTTCAACAGATGACGCTCCCGAAAGGGGAGAGAGAAGAGGGACAAATGACATCATGCGGGAGGCACCTAAGCCACAGTCCACCTCCCGATCGGAGGAAGAGTTGCCAAGAAAAACCACTCAATTTAGGGCTCCCGTGGTCGAAGAAATTCGCCCTTCCCACGTGGCGCTGTGACGGGGTAATCTTCGATGCGCCTCAGGCAACTACTCTTACACACGTGACTGCATTCGTCCGGGTGCGGAGAAACCGAAACTCCGCTCATCACCGGCGCGCTCCCGGAAGGCACGCCCAAGGGCATCCTCATCCCCGTACATTCTGTTTTTGGCTGTTGTTCCCCACTCCGAACAGCTGCTGTCGCGATGGCGAGGAAGCTTAGAGCGGCTGCACAGGCAGCACAACAGTCGCTGAGTATGTCCATCCCATCCATTGGTCTTTTTTTTCTCCATAACTCGATCTTACAAAAATCACACTCACGGGCGCGTCCACTGACAGCTCCGCAGGAAATGCTCCTCCTCCGCTCCCCGATGCCTCCGATGAGGAAATGGCTGAAGCGCCCCCGTCGCGTGGGTCTTCTCCCGCCATAGAAGATCCAGGTGATGCGTCCGACAAGGATCCCGATGTTGTCCCCGAACCCGACCCGCCACAGGAAGACGAGCCTGCCGCAGTCACCAATCCTCCATCGCGCGGCGATACTCCAACCCGTGGCCGTGTGTCCGCCATCCCGCGAAAACGACGTATCGGCCGTCCTCCGAAGAACCGCCCCCCTGACTGGGATCTGCCTGACGACGGTACGGCGCCGCCGCCGATTCATGTAAGCACGCCCGTGAAGAGGAGACGCGGTCGCCCTGCAGCTAGCGGCGGACGATGGGCTCGGAATCGGGGACCGTCGCATGTAACCCAGGTGCCGATTGATAAGGAGGGGAATATGATGGACGTCATTGATGATGAAGTGGCCCTGCCAGATGACCCTGAGGGTGAGACCAAAGTGGACAAGAACGGCGTTCTGAAGGGCGACCGAGAGTATCGAGTTCGTACGTTCACGATTCTTAATCGTGGTGAGAAACATTATATGTTGTCGACAGAGCCAGCCCGATGTATCGGGTTCAGGGACTCCTACCTGTTTTTTCAGAAACACAAGCTCCTTTACAAGATTATCATTGATGACGACGCTAAGCGTGATCTTATTGAAAGAGAGATCATCCCTCATTCCTATAAGGGTCGAGCCATTGGTGTGGTAACCGCTCGGTCCGTGTTTAGGGAATTTGGCGCCAAAATCATCGTTGGTGGCAGGAAGGTCGTTGATGACTACAACGTCAAGGCAGCCAGGGAACGGGGGGATGTGGAAGGTGAACTCGCTGTGCCGGAGGATAAACTCCCCCCTCCGGGAGAGCCATATAACAAGAATCAGTATGTGGCGTGGCACGGAGCTAGTAGCGTCTATCACACGCAGGCACCATCGGTTCCTCTGCCTACTGGCAAGGCCGTCGACTCTAAGAAACGGAAAGTGACTGTCACTGGCGATAACTGGATGCTTGAACATGCCCGAGAAGCTAGGTAAGTAGCACCGTGAGCAAGGTCGTTGACCTACTAACATGCCAACCATAATATAGCCATTACAACTCAATACTTTCGAACGTACGTCGCGAAAACCTTGGAGGTGTGTACGATATTCATACAAATGCTATGCAATATCCCAAAATCATGCAGCCCTCACACGCTCGTTGGGAGCGCCTACCACCTCCGGATCCTCGAGTAGCGACCAAGTTGACCAAGGAAATGTCGACTTTGAGTCTCACCAATGGAGCTGAAGAGGAGGAACCAACTACTGAAAGTGACGCGCAAGATGAGAAGACCACCGAGGAAAAGAGCAACAAAACGAGCAACGACTCTATTTTCTCAACAATTCCCTATGCGTTTTCTCGTCGTTTCGCCATCCACGATGTTCATTACGAAAGCCCACCGTATTCCAATATGGGCATTCCCGGGCCTGACGGTGACGTGCATGATCTCGGCTCAAACGGTATCATCAGCACGGCAAATCTATCATATCCTGAATTTGTGAGTCCCGAAATTCTGGCAGAACTACCTGCAGACTGCAAGGAAGCTCTTGTCGAGGCCGCTGCGCGCGAGTGGGAATGGAAGTCCAAGTGGCATAGTGAGGTGGGCGACGGTGCTCGCACAACCCCGCTCAAAAGTTACGCCTGGTTTCCTTGACCTGGTCGTGGTCTTCTGGCTTGTCGATTAAATCCTTGAAGGACGGCCTCGGGACGTGCTGTTTAATTTCTTTCTATGTATGACACGTGCTTGGGTTGGACCGGTTTTTATGGTTGGCATGAGAAAATGGGAGTTCTTCTGCGTTTGCTTCGGCGGTGTATTATGTTCCAATGTTTCTTCAATTATTGTCTCTTCCCCGATACCTCAGAGACAGCGGCAGGCAGGTTTGCCTTTATATGGATGTCATCTCAATGGCAGGTTAAACAACTCGATCAATTTTTTTTCCAAGTGGCACAAGAACGTCTTCTTTATCTATTGTTATAGGACCTATGAAAAACGATTGGTTTGAGATTATCTTAATATGCCCTCTCTGACCTACGTTGACAGCTGCCATGGTACATATTAATCCGAGAAGTATATTAGGGTTAATGCAGGCAACCCATTCTAGAAACTTAGTAGTATATTCCCAAATAGACACTAAACTGAGTACTATCGTATCCGATAGATCTCTTACCAATGGGTGGGAGTATTTACTCGTAACTCACATCTTGCGTATGTGATGGTCTGCAACTTATATTTATTTTCTCTCTTGATAGTACATTACGCTATTCGACTAGAGATTTTATAATATGTATGTATCTTGGGTCATTCAAGTATTAATCATGATGAACTTCGTAATTCAATTAACCGACGCTTAATGATTGTATCGAATAGAATGGGCTAGCAAAGTGAGAAAAGAAGACAACCCGGGAAAGAAAGAGTAAAATAAAGGAAGTGGTTTATCCCATGGCCATCTCTGCGCGCAGCTTCTCCAGTTCTGCTTCCTCGTCTTCTTCCTCTTGTACCTTCGCTTTGCCTTTGGCTGTAATTCAGAATCAGGTTAGATGCTTTGCTGCGTGGTATATTCACTTCAGATATGGGGGACTTACGTTCTCCGTTCGCCGCGGCCGGTAACCGATTGAGTTGATCTGCAACCGGTACTGTCCCTGTGTGAAGCATCCGCTCGTCCATCGCCTCCTGTTCCAGACCTTCGAGCTCGGCATCCAGCTCGGTCTCGTCCGCCTGCTCGCCAATCTGGGTGTTTGTAATAGCCTGCGCAATTTCCTCGCTGAGTTGGTGTTGTTCGCGGAGTTGATCCCTGTGTCCCCGTCAGTGGCGTTGATTTCCAGAAGAGCCATAGGATAGGAAGGTATATCCAAAAGTGAAACACGCACATCGTCTCATCAACCTTATCAATAGTCAAGTTACCATGGATTTGCGTCATGGCCGCGCCAGCCTGCTTCATCGCGTTCAAAGTCTCCTGGTTGATATTCGCCGCCTCGATCGAATATATCTGTTGTTCTAGCTGGATGATCTGTGCCGTCGTCTGTTCGAGGTTCTTCTCGTGCACCTTTTTACGTCGCAAGGCAGACTTGGCCGCTTGACGATATCAGTCTCATGCACTCCGGCAACTGGGATACAATACAGCGATAAGGGAAAGGAAACCCCCATACCGTTCTTATTTGTCGTCACGTTCTTCCTCGCCACGGCATCTTGCTCCTCCATCAGATTCTCTAGGTGCTTCTCGCGCTTCTGCAGCATATCAAGCTGCTCCCGCAGCTTGAGGATCGCATCCTTAGGCGCATCCTTCCGCTTCTGGGCTGCCGAGCCGCCAAACCATGACCACATCTTGATAAAGCGATTTTAAGGATTACGTTGTGGTGTCGCTCCGGTTCCAATTCCTGAAATGTATAGTTATAACCAGGGTATTCACTGCCCAAGCCCGTATGGTCCTCGACGCCCGGGACTAGAAATCGGTAGAAAGTGGTGGAGTCAGGCTGGGGAGATAAATAGGCAGAAAGAGAGAGGGGCGGCTGTGGTCGAGTCCGGGCGGTGTTGTAGGCTGTCGCGAAATGTAATATCTGGGACAATCGATCCCTGACAAACAACGAATAGATCTAGGGGGTTTTGCTTAGCGCAGAACAAGTCAAGGCAACAATATTAGAGACGATTGGGAATTCACGATGGCGGATGAGATCCGTTTTCCCCCCTCCGTTTGACCCTATGACATACGCGCTAAGCCTATCGGAGACTGTTGGTCACGTGGGATAGTCTATTCCTGATTTCTGTTTTGGGTTTAGTCGATCTTTAGGGACATTGGACCCGCGCATCTTAGATACGTACTTACTTGCTCTGGACTTTGCTCCAGGTTACGACGGCTTTTGATCCATGCCGGGAACTATGTCAGTTACGTTTCTATGAATTGAGGGATGAAAGGCCCGCCTCCTTCCACGAGAGTTTTTCTCTCTAGCGTCCCTTCTCTTCCTGCCGGTTTGAAGGTTCGGTTTCTTGGTTGGTGCGTAGATTGTCCATCCTGGGATATATTAGTATATCTCAGGTCGTACATGCATAACATAAACGCTAACCACTTGGCTAACGATAGCGTAAAGACTTATAATGTCGCCACAGGCCACCTAATCCTAGAGCATAACTACCCCCGTTGTAAACCAATCCAGGAACCACCTAGCATCCCCGTCGATGTTAACGCCGTTCTGGGAACGGTAACGGCGGACGAGCTGCGGGTTGGGGCGTGGGTTAACGTGCTCGGGTATGTGAGAAGAGTAGAGTCCTCGGTCTACGTGGAGGCTGTCATGGTATTCCGAGCTGGAGCAATTGCAGTGGGAGAGTACGAAAGGATCCTGCATAATTCATTGGAAGTGGATCGAAGGGTGCAGAGGCCTGAATAATATCTTCTTTCCATTGACAGGAATATGCAAAACAGACTGAAGTTGACTTTGACAAAGTGACATTTTCTGTGTTTATCTAAACTGAACACACACTATTCATTATGATTATCTTGAACACATATGCTTCGTTGCCGTATATGCGATATCGTATATGCCCCTTTTAAATTGAACCGGACGCCAAACATGGAAATAATTCGAACTTTTGGGATATTATCGTCGAACGTAGAATAGGCCGTTTTCGTTTTGTGTTGCTCTCTTCATGATTTCCCGGTGATACGATGATGCAACAGTTTAAACCTCCATTTTCTCCTTCTCGGCTGCCTCTGCATTCGCTTTCGCGTCTAATCGTTGCTGAAGACGCAGTCGCTTCCCCTCCAATCTCTTCTTGTCCTCCTGCATCCGCACAATCAAAGCACTCTTCCTGCGGATCTTGTATCCATACTTATAGAACACAAACGGAATCGGAATAATAGCCACCTCGAGTAGCCCAAGCAATGTCCCAGACCAGTTAGGCCCAATCCCAGCATAGAGATACGTACCCACCAAGGGCAAAACACCGCCCAGAATACTCCGAATGACGGAGTTACCTGCCATGGCAGATGCAGCGTACACTCCGTAACTATACGACAGATAGTTTGACGCATAGATGAACACGCCCGTGTTTCCTGCACCGAACGGCACTCCCGCGAGGATGGGCACAATCCAGTGGATGGACGCCGGAGCGCAGGTCCATGCGAACCAGAGTTCGCCGGCGGGGATTAGGATGGCGGAAATACATACGATCGAGACCATGGCTTCTGGGGGCACTTTCCCGGTCTCAGGGTCGATCGCGTGGTTGTTGATCATGCGGCGGATGAAGGGTTCGCAGGCGATGGTTATGAGGCAGCCGATGCCGATGCCTAGAAAGGCGAGGCCTGAGAGTCCCAGGGACCAGCCACGAATGTCGCGGAAGACGATGGGATAAGCGGTGAAGCAGAGATATAGGATGCCGTAGACGATTGCGATGTAGATGTTCCAGAATATGCTGGAGTGCGTTGTTAGTTCTGTGGGCCTGCGAGATGTGATGTGAACGGAGGAGATCTTACCAGATAGGTTCGGTGACAGCCATGACGAAGGGCCGTCCCAGATTCACTTTCAGGATCTCCCCTAGACTAGCCTTTTGGTCGTATCGGCTCCAGTAGGGATCGCCGGTCTCTTTGCGCATGCGGGCAGCTTTCTTCTGAAGTATAATGGGCCCGTAGGTCTCTTTCATTATCAATGAGAAGACTAAAGCGACGCCGGACAGTATCAGCGCGATCCAGTCCATCCAACGCCAACCGAGGTACTGCGTGACAAAGCCCCCAATAATGGGACCCAGGACTAGGAGTTGATTAGTTATACGCCATGGTGAGTAAGATAGCATATTGATACGAACCTGGGCCATTTACGGGGCCAATACTCCAGATCGACATTGCGAGGGCTCGCTCTTCATCATTGACTAGATCTGACACCATTCCTGGCGCAGTTGAGATCATGACACTACCAAAGAAAGCCCCGATGAATCGTACAACGATGAGAGTAGCTACAGACTCCGCGCGCGCACATGGTATGATCAAAACCATGAAAACAAACAAGCAACCCACAGATACGGGCTTTCGACCATACACCTCACTCAAGGGTGCCATAAACATAGAGCCAACAGCAAGGCCGATAAGGTATAGAGTAAGGCCTAAGGTAACAATAGTGTTTGAAGTTCCAAACTCAGCCGCGATGTCTGCGACGCCAGAGGTATATGACGTGGAGTATAAGACACTGGTTACGGTTAGGCACGTCCATTTACTCCCCAAACCGTAATGTATATCGGTGGAAAGACTTACACAATTAGAGTGTTCCAGGACAGAAATGCAATTCCCATCCCTTTGTACCTGAGCGACCAATTTTTGGGGTTCATCTGATCATTTTCATCCTCGAAGTCGACTTCATACCTCGGATCTGACGTTGCGTTAGTACCGATAGTGGTGGTCTTTCTGGCCAAAGAAGGCACCGATTGTCGCGAAGCTTGTGTGACAATTTGTTGCAGCTCTTCGGTATCCTCCGTCGAAGTAGACTCCGCAAGAGAATTGGTATCTGCGGGCAAGGCCTCCTCCTGGGCGTGTCGAGGCCGTTTCTCGCAATCGGAAGGTTGATGGTGAGAGGAAGACATCCTGCCTGAGAATGCTTGCGACAGAAAATTGAACTCCCTGGAGCCCTATCCAATGAGTCAGACAGGGTAGAACCCTGATCTATATGGCTATCCGCTGGAAGAATCGAGATGTAAAATATTAGGCGGGGATCTCGACAAGGTATATTAAACTCTTACACACGAACGAGAACATGGATTATAGATAGGAAGGAGAAAAAGAAAAAGGAAAAAAAAAATATTGCCCTCGTACAATCCTGAGAGCTACGACTGCCCTTTGATTCTTAGTAGAGCAAATAGTTTCACCTGGATGAGAGGCTATCTTAGGACAGCCTGTAACGAAGTAATAGAAGTAAAACACAGCACACCCTCAGGAGAGAAGGACCAAAAATATCCAGACAGGGAAGGATTCACAATTTTATTTTTCACTGTAATGATTAGCGCCTGTGTTCCTTAATAATTATCTGGGTAGATGTGGGGCTCAGAGGCAAGTGCTGTTACTTAGTATATGGAGATAAGGCGTCGGTACATTTCCTTAGGGCACGAGAGAATGTGATCTATGCTGAATGTGGCATGATATACCAAGGGCCGGGTATTGTACATAATGAACTTGTAGTCGTAACTGCCAAGAATATTCGCAATCATGTTAACGTTGTCTGCTCGGGTATCTCATTCTCTTGCCGGCCAGAGTCCGAGGTCGAGCAATCGCCTCCACACCTGTCCTCCACATACTAGTAGACCTTCGGACAAACGATTGATCTCTTACCGCTAGAGATCGACCTATCTAAGCAGACCCATGCATTTTCATCTTGGAAAACTTGGTAGGTGTTGGCTGCCTGGGCTGACACTGTATCATGTATTGTGGAACGAATCCCGGGCCCCCATCCAGGAGCAGCTCATCTCCGAGATCATTCCGAGTACGATGGTTTAGCGCCGTTTATGATCTAGTTATGAGTGCTTAACTACAGTCAATCGTAGGTTCTAAGGTCGGATTTGGTCCACTGAACCCTTAAGTTGGTGTTCTTCAATGCTCAGCTTAAGCTCATTTACCCCATATCCCCGTACTCCAGACGGGGGGAGGAGTCCATACGGCCCCAGTCAGTGGACAGTGAATGAATGGATCGATCAATCAGTGATGCATAAACGGCGAGTCCCTCATCACTAAACTGCCAAGGTTAGGTCGACTCCACCAGGTCGTTACCCGAAGAATGACTCATCAATTGGAGGTCTTTCGTCCACATAAAGAACCAGAACACCCGTTGTGACGAGGAGTTTCTGCCCAGTGAGCTTTAAGAGTCAGTTCCGGTTTACCGCTCGTGCCGGTTTGCCGATCACAGGGACAAAAGTCAAGAGGTGAAACGCCACTAAAAGGGAAAGGAATGGAGATGATCGTGGTCTGAGTGAAGGTCTGGATCCATTGGGTATCCATGCGGGAAATGGGGGCTTTCGGCTATTAGCTCCGAAGACACGAGGGCTACTAAACTCTATGGTAGAAGTTGACAGATACAATATAGCTATCCGTATCGAGAGAAGGTAGCGCTCTAAGTATAATTTTCATCAAAGAGCCTAGCCTTACCCTGGAGGCTAATGGCTGTTGAACTCAAGTGCCCCGTCCATGTGCACAGACGACGGGGGTTACAAGTGAATGAATGAAACCCTGGAAAATATAAAATGTATGAGATGACCCGGCAAAGCCAAGGGCATTAAATATCTCTGACTCCCTGGAATATATATACTTAGGGTTCTGTGATTTTCTCTCCTTCTGGCAGCAGAAGTTCAAATAAGCTAGTATGGCCTTTTGATTATTGATCATACATGACTCGTCTGCAGCATCACGTGGGTCCCTCCTTAAAGCGGCAACGGCCTAGGTAGAGCGGAATTGGATTGCAGAAAACAAATCTTTCATAGTTCTAAAATCCCATAGATAGACAACCATACTGAATGAATATATTAGGGATACGATTTATATTGCATTATTATTGGTTGTGTATGCATTCCATCGGACTATGCACGGTTAACTGGAACATCCGATGAGATCCCGGTTACTACGCAAATCGTCTGGTTGTTCTGCCGACAGCAAGCTTCAACCTGGCG